TGTTGAAGGATAGGCATAGTGGGAGATTGGTACAGCATAGCTCTATCTATTTTTGGTTTATCTTGACTTTTTTCCTCACCTGCCCTTATCCCACAGACACTGGTATATTGGATGTTACCTTCTGTGACAGGATTTGCATTAGTTTGCCAGCTTGTCTTTACAGTTCTTTTGAGGAAAGAGCTTAACCTCTACATGAAGCTGATAATCCTTTTAAACCATAGCTCAGAGGTAGAATGATGCTTCTGCTTCTGGCTTTGAGAGGCTGCTGAATGAACCTGGCACTACAGGATAAATGTAGACTAGCAGCAAGTGTCTCGCCCTGAGCTTGTGCCATTGCTGATCCATAGGGAAGTTTTGAGTGTCCCTGTATCGCGATTAGGACTAGGACATCAATGGGAGGTGAAACACATGGACCCTTCACTAGCCACTTCACATTACAAGAAGAGGAGGAAGAGTAGTTCAGCTTTCTTTTCCCACCTTTTCCCTGCACACTGACTAGCTAGATGATACCACATACACCAAACACCGAACTTTACTCTCAATATCTGTCATAAGAACACTCTTGTGGGGCTTTCTGCAGGCCGCTTCTGGTGTGCTCCAGAATGTCCCCATAAATTTGGGCCACATGGTGGATGCTTATCTGGAGCTCTCTGAGAGTTGCAGGCGGTAGATCACGTTGTCCAGGATAGGTCTCATGTTAAGCAGTGGCCCAGGATGAGCAGCAGCTGGCGTGGGCAGCCTTGCTTGACTGCTGCTATTTCTGGGCATGCAAAAGGAACTCCCCTGGCCATCTGCAGGATCTCCAGCTGCGTGGGGATGGCAGCACAAGGCCATGGGACCTCCAGCTGTGTGGGGGTGGCACGACAGGCCATGCCTCAGGAGTGCTCGCTGTGGGGGGTTGATGTTTGTGTGTAGGACTGGGTCACTGGAGCAGCAGGACCCTGAGGCTCCATTCCAGGCTTCCTGTTAGCCCTTAGTACTTGGTGATGATATGGTGCAGCTGTAGAACTGTGGACACATAGGGATGGAGGCAGAGGGTTGCTTCTAGTTCCGACCGTGGATAAGGTAGCACAGATGAGCAGTTCTTTGGAACTCATTGTTTGCAAGGCAGGTTTTAAGTTAGTTCTTTAATAAAACCGCAGCACAGCTTCTCAAAAGTAACTCATGCTTCCTTTTTGTCTTGCAGGAGAAAAACCTTTCAGCTGCAATTGGGAAGGCTGTGACAAGAAGTTTGCCCGCTCAGATGAACTGTCACGCCACCGCAGAACTCACACGGGAGAAAAGAAGTTTGCGTGTCCTGTGTGCGAGCGTCGCTTCATGCGCAGCGATCACCTGACAAAGCACACCCGCTGCCACATGACCACGAAGAAGACCCCCAGCTGGCAGACAGAGGTTGGCAAACTCAGCAGAATTGCCACAGCAGAGAAACCGAAAAGCAGCAGTGCTCTGAGTATGCTCATCCCCATGCCATCACCTGTCTGTCAGGGCTAGAGTGAGGAAACACCTTCCCTGCAAACTCTGAAGATCAGGAAGAGCTCCAATGGCTACAACAGAACTGGCAATGGCTTTTGTTTTCCCTGTGTTTGTGCATACTTTAGGTTCCTGCAGTTTAGGTCCTCAGTTGATAATGCTGTATGAGAAATCTATCCTATATTTCCTCGTCCCTTCCCTGTTTGTTTTTTTTCAACACTTGGGCAATTGCAATCACCAGCACTTCAGGAAAGCAGAACTCTTTAGAAATTATTTTGGCTATAGTGTAATGCTTGCTGTTAATATTTTGATGGACAGTAAAACAGGGTGGTTTTTAATTTTTATACTACTATTTTCTATACCAAATATATTTTATATTTGTTCTTTTTGGTCTTGTTATGCAGGCAAATTACTTGACCTGCATTAGTAAGGGTGTGCTGGATGAGACCCAAAGTTTTGGAAACTCCTTTTCAGTAAACCTAAACAATTGCATTCAGAGCATTTTATAAACATGTAAAATTTGATAACTCGGTTGGTGTTTTCACACTTGCAAATCCTGATCCTGCAGTGGGCTAGTGCTTTTACACCCTCCTTATGCAGGTGACATTGGAGATCAAAGTGAGTCAGTCATTTTTTAACACAAACCAAACCAGAATGACTTTCTTTGAGAACACAAGTGTTGAAATCCTCAACATTTTCTGAATTCATACCCTTTGCAAGTGGAAGCTGTTGTGGCTTTTGGTAGAAGTTTGACATACCGGGCATTCTTGAGTCTGCAGTTCATTGGAGCAAAGTGTGGAGGAGCCAGACTACTCTGATGGAGGTAGAAGCACAAACACCATTTAGAGACTTTGACACTAAAAATTATGCTTTATTTTTGGTCCTACTAAACCAGCATATCAAAATCAAGTGAAAAATGCAAAAATGGCAAGATAGCCCATGAAGAATTATCTGGGTCTCTATTTTGTTTTGGTTTTTTTTTTTTAGAGTACAGGAGAAATAGAAAATTAAGGGATTTTATGTATTGTGGATGCTTGTGCACCTTATAGGAAATTGTTCAAGGCTTTCATTTACCTGTATCAATGCACCAGAGGAAGTACTAATTGTGTCTTGAGTTAAGAAATAGCCACCCTGTCAACCTGATGATGCGCTTCATGTGGCCTTATACTTCTCCACAGTACTTTGTATAAAATCACCCTTTTCTATTAAACGATACACTCTTCCTGTTGAATGGATTTTCTTTTACACAAAGTGTAATCATGGTTAAGAAGTGGAACCACTGGATGCAGGAGTGCTGTGTTGTAATGGCATGGTATGAATAATAAAATGCCTGTAGCACGGTCGGACTGCTCAGTTTCCATGGTGCGGAAGGATGTGTAAACGTACTGTAGCAGAGCTGACAGCAGAGCAAAGCACCAGGTGTTTTGCCGGGAGACAGCTCACCTGCTGAATGAAATGTTTCTGTAGAGTTTATTCCTTATGGACTCTTCTCCCTTCAGCCACTCCTATGCTGAAGCTTAGTTGAGCACTGAGGAGGATTGTTTTTTTTTCTGGATGCATCAAATGTGGATAACTAGGAATGCTGTCTCTTGCATGGCTTTGTTCTGAAATCCTGGTCTTGCTTCCCGTTATAGGCAAAGCATGGATCTCATCTATGTAAGTGCAGACTTGCTGATTTCAGCTTGCACTCCCCTGAAATCAGCAGAGACCTGTTTCAATTTAAAGCAGATTATGTCATTATTTTTTACACTAAAGTTTATAGTTATAATGAACAGTACTAAGTTTTCAAACTGCACTAAATTGGAGTATTGTGCTAAGTGTACTGAAGTTTTTGTGCCTGACCTTTAAAACGCCCACACCCTGTTCACTGACACGTGCTGTAATCCCACTGCCCCCAACATGTCTGTCGGTGAGTGTGTGTGTGGACTTTCCAAAGAACTCGGTTGGAACCCCTTTTCCTGGCAAAGTGGATGCTTGTGGTGTTGCTGTTCTCTGTTGATACCCGATTTTCCCAATTTGTGTGGTGAACAAAGAGATGTTGCTGCTTTACTTTTTTGTTTGTTTGTTTTCTCAGAAATCCCTTAGAACAAGAAGTTTGGCTTTTGGATGCTGTTTCACTTGCTTTTAACCAGGGGAAGCATGTCCTGTCTCAGTTCAGTAGCCAGTTTAGTACTTCATTTTTTTTTACAGACCATCCATCTGTGGTGTAAACCTGAGTAAAACAGTTTGAAAACTCATGTCATAATTAAGTAAATTGTCATGTTAGTGGCATCATGGGAGGAAAATGATGGACCGGAGAACACAGAATTTTGAAAAGTGTGTCATGTATGTGTGTCATGATGTGGAAAAGCAATGGCTCTCACCTTGTTGGGTTTACATGGCCTGCAAGGGCTGCCTCCCACCACCTGTGTCCGGGACATGCGGATCGTTCTCTTGTGAATGTGCATGAATAGCTGTGCTGTGGTGTGGCTGTGTCTGCTCTGTGTGCTCTGTTCCTTCCTGCTGTGTAAGGGTTATTTATGGAGTACGCATGACTGGGATAGCTGATCTCTTTGCACTTTACTGCCTGAACTCTATTGTTCAGTTTTTTTATTTTGAACCTATATTTTAAGGAAATGGAATCGCATTTTTTGTACCTGTTTTTAACTTTTATTTAATAAAATGCGTGCAATGTGACTGGTTTTAAATCATAAAAAAATTATGAATTTGCAGGTTTCATAGATGTCCATTCCAGAACTGTGAAAATCCATCTGGATTAGGTTTTATGTCTAGGCAAGTGGAAGACTCTCGGAACAACAGTCTGTACTTCTGTTCAGCATGGCCTCCAGCAGCTGTCAGCAGAAGGGATGGGCTAGGTGTTGCTCTGTTGGTGTTGCAAGCTGTGCATGAAGTGAATGTTGGAAGTAAAAGATGAGAATGTAACTCAAAGTTACATTAGCCCCAGTTCTTCCTGTTCCCTCATACTTGCACTATGGTAAGGAAGGGGCTCTGGCAAGCTGGGTGTCACCTCGAGGTCTCTTTTGGGAAGGAGATGTCCAGCAATGGTGACAGCAGCAGCAACTGTCTACATTTTTACTCTCCTCTGCTGTTTCTTTTCCTCTGACCAGTTCCTGAACTGCAGAGATGTTTATTTCCAGCAGGAAAGGAGAGGTTGTAATGATTTCAGCTTTCTGTCATGGCCCTTCACTGCAAAGTGGCTCAGTCCCTGTAGTCAGAGCCCTCGGAGAACAACTTCCAAGTGGTGACTCAAGGCTTTGTCTGCAAAAGTGCACATCATTCTTGCAAGTGTGAGGAAGGTGAAAAGAAAATCTTATGGATGGTTCTGATTCCCCCCCAGGAGAACAACTGGAAGGGAAGTCTTTGCTGCAGGATCAGTGCTCTGGCAGAATGGCCCACATTCTTCAGCCTGTGGGCTCTACAGGTCTACACTATGCTTTGTTTCACAGAGGAAGTTGTCCTACCTGTCCCTACTATTATTTTTCAAGGAAGATTTTTCTGAGCATCAAATCATATCCTAAACAATACTTGTATTTTTTTTTGTTGCCAATTTTTATATTGTCTCCCTGACTTTGTTTGTATGAAACATGGTGATGGATTTCACAGTTCTTTGCTCATCTTTCTGCTTCTTCTTAGCACCAAGCTGTGGTCTGAGCTGTTCCATGCAGCCAAGAGGTGCACTCCATACACATCTTAATGGTGCTGGAGTCTCAAACAGCTTCATCCTGTGAGAGAAACAGTCTGTACACAAGGAAGCCTTCCCAGCTACCCCTGTGCTGACACAGGCATTGTTGAGGATTTCTGTCCTGTAGCCATTCTAAATCCATGAAAAGGAATCATTTTCTGAAGGAAAATGCATTTGTGCTCAAACCTATCTGTTGGCTTAATGCTATGTTTTGCAGTCAGACTGGCATAGCTTGTGGTCACACACACCACACTGTGTTATTGTACAGCCAAACCTTCAGCTCAGCGGTAGGTTCCCTGGTCTTGCAAATTGATGAGCACTGATGCACTTGCAGTTTGGATACTGGAAGAGTGAATCCCTTCTGAAGCTGCAGAGCAGAGTGGGCAGAGGTGGTCCATGCTGTCAGGTGGTTGCACACTTGGTGTGCTCCTCTGGCTGCGGCCACAGCTCTGCCTACCTCTGCCTTTCCAGCTGAGAAAGCCGTACTTGGCATCCTGTGGCTGATGAAGGTGGCCCTTCATCTGTCATCTCATGAGCTGAGACCTGCCTCAGGGTTGCATCTGGCTTGAGTACATCTGCTAAGTTAAATCTGGTTTTGAAGTTTCATCTGTGAGCCCATCTGCCTGTTTGCCTTCTGTTTGTGTCTGGCAAGGCGGCTCAAGGCAGGCAGGCTTTGGCTGTGAGAAGGTAAACTACTTCCATGCATGCAGGAAGAGTAAATCATGACTCAAAGCACAGCAACCTGCAGGCTGAGAAAAACGGCAAGACAGTCCAGGGGGAAGCTGCAAAGCCTCAGACATGTCTCTTCACTGTCCAGGCAGTCCTGGGGTCCACTTCCCTGCAGTGAGTGTGTTAGCACTGAGCCATTTTCTTTCCAGATTGTTTCCATCCTCTGTCAAATGCAGCCTTCCTCATTTTCTGCTTCAGTCCTTCTGTGTAGGAGAAGAAAATTCGTGACTTTTATGTTCTGATGCATGCGGGCACACATTGGCACATCTTAGACATGCAGAAAACTTGAGGAGTTTGGAGCATACCCTTTCCTGAGAGAGTTTTTCCTAGATAGGAAAAATACCTTAGCTTTAATTGTCTCCTTTGTACTGTCTCTTGAGTTCAGAATGACTTCCTTTCTGTTTGTTATTATTGTCCAGATAAACTCACTTTCACCCTGTGCAAATAATTGCCATGTCCTGTGTCCAGAGTGGGGTGAGAGGAACTCTGCTGTGGATGTGGTCTGTGCCAGGTAGCTGGTGTTCCACCTCCCTGACAAGTGTGGAGGGGAACTGCACGACGCTCCTGTGCCACAGCTCCAGGCCTGCACCTTGCTGGGGCAGAGGCTCTGTTTTGACACCGAGTGTTGCGTGTGTGAATAATTTGTCTGAAGGCATGTTGGGGTTTGACCTTCAGAGGAAAGGGGTTGGGGAAGAGCATTCCTTGGGATGGTGAGGGTGCCACCCTCCTTTTTCCTCTATTATGAAGGTGAGTAGATGAGAGCAGGGTGCTGGACAAGGGAACTATTAGTTGCTCTGCTCTTGGAGGTCCTGGCAATGGGATGGTGGCAGATACACTCCCCACTCGTGTCTACTTACAGCTCCCAAATGAATTCTTGAAGCTTGTAAGAGATTTCTGGGTGACTGCAGAACAGGTAAAAGATAACTTGCTTCCTAAAACTGCTCCACCAGTGATCTGTTTTCTTAGGTGATCTCTGGGAAAGAGTTCTGCCCATTTAGTGGGCTACTGGAAAGGCAGAGCTCTGCAAAGAAAGGCAATATAGGTTGCAGTGCTGTCACAAGGAAAGGCATCTAGGAAGAAAGGGAAGAAAGGATTCAAAGTGTTTATTTGCACATGAAAAACAGATTTGAGGGAAATCGAGAGTCTGAGTAACTGTGTAAACTGGTTCTGTAGTTTCAGGTTTGTTGGTTTTGTTTTTTAAGATCTTGGGTTGAGTAATTTAGAAAATATGGTTCTATGTTTTCACCACCAGAACCTTTCAGCTGGAAACTTGTTGCATGGCCAGGTAAGAAAACTGAACTTGTGGAAGTGAAGGAGCTCAGAAGTGGCAATATCTTCTCATGCAATAAAAAGTAATTTTTCATGATTAGCTGAAAAAATTACCCTCTTCAGTCCCCTCAGCAACTGTGGTAATAGGAGGTATGTACAGACAGCCAACTGGCCAGCAAAGGCTTTCTTACTCCTTTTGGACTAGTGCAAAATGCAGCATGTAGCATTTGTCTTTGTTAGACGAATAATGTAGTGATTTGTTTAAAAAACTGGCCTTTTGCTGTTTCATTAATGGAGATTAATAATGTTAGCTGAAAAGCCATGATCAGCTACCCTGTCCTATGCTGCATGTATTAAACAGGAGGGTAGTTTCTAAAATGATGAACGAGAAACTCTGCAGAACCCTGCTTAATTCCAGCAAACTGTTTTAGGAGCTGGAAGTACTGGCAAGCTGAATAATTTTTTGTCCTTCAAGCAGTTGTGACTTTATGATGGTTATAGAGAAATACCACGAAAAGAAAATGAACTTTCCGATAATTCAGCTGGTGGGATGTCAGCATTCACTTCCTGAGATGTGATCTCCACAGTGCAATTGTCCTTATTTTTAAAAAGCCATTAATTCAAGAAGTTTCTCTTGAAATTAGTCATGGGCTGAATTACTGCTTTAATGTGATTATTTACCTGCAAATGATCTAGTATCCTATTTTCCTTGAGCAAAGGATGGATCAAAATAGAGTTACACTGACACCAGGCAATTAAACTGCAATTGTGCCTTCCTAGGTACCAGTCCCTTGCCACCACCTTGTTTTGGTGTGCTGCTGCGTAAAGGTTTGACACAGAGAGAGGAATACAGTCCCATTGATTCTTGGGCAGGCTGGGAAGCTGGCTGGGTACCACCGTCCTGTTCTGCATGGTATGAAAATAAGACAGATATGTTTCAGTTTGTGAGCTGCTCTGTCCTGGTCGTCTCTGTGGTCAGAGCACAGTGCTGAAGACACATCATTTCATGGCACAGAGAAAGCCTGCAAGACCATGGCACGGTTTGAGGCCCCTCCTTGCATCCCCAAACTTCTTTCTCCCATCTTTTCCCTGGTGCAGTGGCTGTCCCAGCTGCATCACTCCTTTCTGGACCTTCCTGGGTTCCCGCAGCTCCTCCTTTTCTGTTGGTGATGCTGTAAAGTTTACCTGTGAAACCCATTGCACCTTTGTTCCAGGTGCAGAAACATGCTTCTCTCTTGGCTATTTCAGAAGCTAATTTTGTAAAGTTTAGTCATTCGCTTTGTTCACTCAAGAGAGATTTCTCGCAACCTAACAATACATTCAGTTAAGGTCTTACTTTTTTGATTAGTCAATTTCTGTAATTGTTAATACTTAGGCTTTCCTTTAGGAGAGCCTGAAATGGGTTGTAGAGCTGTTACTTGGTCCAGTCATCAAATACACCCTCAGAGAGAAACTCTGTGAGGGGAGCCAGGGCACAGGCAGAGGGACCCAGGGTGGAGGCAGAGCCCTGGTCCCTGCTTGCTTGTTACAGCATGGTCTGACAGCAGTGTGGCTTTCCTTCTGGTTTGCTGTGACTGAGTTCCTCGAAGCATCTCCCCACATGTGCCAGAGACTCTGGGGACCTTGGCAGAAGGAAGGTCTTAGTTGAAAGAATGAGATCCAAGTTGAAGGAAATTCTAAACCACTACAGTGATTAGAAAAGAGTATAGAGTACTATCATGCCCTATGGTGCTGGAGTCAGACAGCTTCCCATGTTTTTTCTATTCCCCGCAGGCAGATTTTGCTCACCCCAGTAGGTCTTTGAGAGCTGCTGAGAAATAACAAAAGTTCTGGGAGATCTGGTCACAACTCTTGACACACTTGCAGAGAAACTCTGTTCCAGCCACAGCTTAGTGGCATTAATAGGTCTAAAAATGACTGTTCCTATAAAAAAAAATAAAGTGCTAGCATTCAAAATTGGATTTTTTTTTCAGGAGTTTTGGAAAGCCCTTGCTGCAGAGGGCCACCCAACTTACCCCAAGCAATGCATGGACATCTGCTCTCTATTCCAGCTATTTCTGGGCCATGGAGAATCATAGAATGGCCCGGGTTGGAAGGGACCTTTCAAGATCATCTAGTCCCATGCCCCTGCCATGGGCAGGGACACCTTCCACTGGAGCAGGTTGCTTAGAGCCCCATCCAACCTGGCCTTGAACACTTCCAGGGAGGGGACATCCACAGCCTGTTCCAGTGCCTGACCACCCTCACAGTGAACAATTTCTTCCTTTTGTCCAACTTAAATCTACCCTCTTTCAGTTTAAAATAATTATCCCTCATCCTACCAAAGTCCCCCAGATGACATGCTGCAAGCTCTTGCCTCTGAGCCTGCATAGCTTTGGAGGACCTTGGTTCCCTTCCTGATGCCCACCTCTGCTGCCAGGCAGAGCACCATGCCCAGCCTCGCTCATGGCTGCTGCAGGAAAGACAACTGGGATATGAGGATGTGTGCCAGGGGTGTCATCTAGTGCCTCCCTCACGGCATCCTTCCTGCCATCCTCGAAGGATGTGTTCTGCTTAGTCTCTGCAGGTACCATATTAGCCATGTAACCTAGAGAGCCTTTTTCAAAACATTTGATGCCTTCACTGAGAGCTATATAGAGTACAGCTGCATTTATTTCTGATTCACAGGTACCAGGAATCACAAAATACTTAAAATACAGCATCTTAGCATTCTAAAAGGTGTCCCACTGTTTCCTCTTGCATTTACACATGGTGAAGATTCTATCTGATGCCTTTTATGCTTCAGCTGAAGGTAGAAATAAGGTATTTTTCTACTTCTGATAATAAGCAGTTGTTAAGATGCAGGTAAAATAAAAGCAGAAGCCCCAAAACACCAGGCTTCCCTGTCTGAGAGCAGTGAAAATGTACTGTTTTCTTTGGAGAGACGACTTTCTGTTTTACTTTGCAGTCAGCTAACAGTAAAATGTAATGGTTTTTCTTCTAGGTTACCTACCAAGGACACAAAATACATGGGAAGGTCAGATCACTGACAGCTGCTTTCTACAAGAGCATGCAAGTCCCTCTTGAGATGAATGACTGGAATGGGGATACGCATCCTGCTTTCACTGGAGGATCCACATCAAGGAGCCCCAAATAGGACACCTATGCTGGGACTCTGCCCCAAAGGGGTCATACAAATCCTATGTTCTCTGATAGCTCCCAGGAGCCTTATTTGCCTCTGTGGTGGGATTTGAACTCTGGGATTACACTGCCTATGTACTGGATGGTGGGCTCAGTCCCCTTTTCCTCTTATCCCCCATACTAGGGACCACATTGAAAGAGACAGTGCCAAATTCAGATCTGGACCTGAGGCTTGCACAGCACAAGGGAGTACATTTGGCACATATTAAGTGGCAGGAACACGAATTTCTTGCAACATCCCCTTAAGTAACTTTTGGATCAAATGATATGGCTGCATTTTTCTTCTACTAAGTCAAAGCAAGGTCTTCCTTCAAAGTATCATGTTTCAAAACTTCTAGTATGACACTTCAATTCTAGTACATGTCCATTTGTAAATAGCATTTAGAAATGAGCTTCTAAATATTGGTACTCAAGATGAATTGGTCCTTCTTCCAGTGGCACTGATCAGGAATCAGCAGTTGATGAGGATCTTCACGGTCGCACTCAGAGTTGGTCTGTGCTCTCTGTGCTTCCTAAGCAGCTATGGTGCCTCTTACACTCCATCACCCTTCACCACCCACCTCTCCCATGCCATTTCTCTGTGTGAAGGGTTATTTTGTCAGTAGCAGTTTTGCTCCAGCTGGGCTTCCAGGATTATGCCTGAAGTTCTTGTGGCATGGGACTGGACTCAGCGGCAGTACTCCCGCTCGATGCTTGCCATGAGCTCCTCCTCCGAGTAATCGTATGATATTGTGGACTGTCCTGATGGCTTCTTGCTGTTGCCTTCTGGGCTCCTGTCACAAAAGGGAATGAGTTATTGGTGTTGTGTGAGAGAATCAGGCTCTGAAGACATGAGAAGGCCCTTAACTTTTTTTGTGAATGGAAAGATCAAGCCGCAAGTGGCTTGCTGAGACACAGATACTCTGTCACGTCTAGTTCCATACCCCATGGGCACATTGCCTGCTGACATTTGCTATCATTTGGCGCCTATTTCAGTCTGTGAGTTCATTACAGTACAGCCCTTACAATGCTCCAGATCAAACGCCCGGAATCTTCCAGTTAGGCTCAGCTAAAGGACTGTGTAACCTTTATGCTAGTTACTAGTTTTAATGTTTTATGAAGAAAGAGATTTTTTTTGTTCGTATTTGTAAGGGATTTGAGTTTCAACCAAAACATGAATGCAGCTCCCTCAAATTGTTCTTATGGCTTTTATTTATTTTTACATCAGCACAACTCTCACATGTTTCAGCACACTCTCACGAGTGGGAACTGATGTATGATTCAAGGGGAACTGGTATGGGGTTTATTGGTGTTTTGAAAGGTGGTTTATGCTGGGTACAAGAGAAATCTGTCCCTAGCTGCGTGAGGGAGAACAGTGAAAAGGCTTCTGCAAGCTTAGACCACTGTACCTCAATGCTACCAATTAAGTGTACTTGATCTTGCCTTCTGGGACTCAAGAGAGGAGCCAGGAGCTGGCAACTGAGTGCTCCTCCTTGGCCCAGTAGGGAACTGGGAGGTTCAAGAAGGAGCAAGGCAGGCTGTCAGGCTTGTCATCTCTGGAAATTGGAGCACATGGCTCAATGAAATGGAGGTCATGGTGTGGTGCAGAGCTAAGTGGGGACTTGAGCTGGTAAATCCAAATTGTAAAGTGCTCTGCCATGCCATGTCAATCAAGATTTGTGACCATCTACTGGTAGAGAACAAGCAAGAAACAAATGAGTTTGTCTGTCAGTTAGTTGGTTGCCAAAGAGGCAGTAGCATGGCTCCAGATCTGTCCTAGACTCACCATGTAGCATCTGTTGAATTACTTTTTTCTATCCCACTCTGGGTCTTGCAGCTGGAGTGAATTTTGTCATTAGCATCCTTAGTGAAAAAAGATGAGGACCTGTTTATTAGATGGAATCACAGAAGCTGCCTCAAAGCAGGTAAGTAAATGTAGAATCAGAATTGAAAAAAATAACACTTTGTCCTATAGAGGAGGTGCTTTCATACTGCTCTCCTTGGGCCAGGGAGCATCCTCAGTGTTCCTCCAACAGGCAGCAGCCAGCCTCCTGCTGCTGTCCTGCTCCTTCCTCTGCTCTCATCTGCCTTGGTCAGAGAGGTTCCAGCCCAGCCCAGCTCTCTCACTGAGCTGTGCTTATGCCATGCCCCCTGTGTGTCAGAAACAGTTTGTTTTCCCTGGAGTCACCTGATGACCAGCTGGTGTGGCCACTGGGTCGTGTGGGTGTTCTACACTTATTTACACTGCACCATGCCCTTCATGAGTAGTTTTACTGTCAGCAAGTAGGATTTAGCAACTGAACTCTTCTGCTTATTCCTTTTATTAATTTTCCTTCTGAGGGGCTCCAGGCAACCCAATTTCCACTGCAGTAAATGAGACCCGAGAAGAAACCTACAAGTCCAAGAGCTCGAACCATACAGCAGCAGTTACAAAACATGAATGGGAAAAGGAAGTGCAGAAATCTAACTTAAAACCACAATTTACTGATTTAAACGCTGCACTGTGACAATCCTCAAACTAATTTTATGTGATGAATAAGAGGCAGAGCTCTTGGCAACCTGCTTGCAGGCCCACAGAAGAGCCATTGTTTCTCTTAGCAGTTACATAATTTCCCACTGTTAATTATTCTCAATGCTTTGGTTTGCATGGATAAAATATCCAGGTAAAATTGGAACTCATTGAGACATAGATGTGCTTTTAAAAATACAAAAATAAACTGCACTTACCATGCATACCCCAAAATTGAGGGGAAAAGAGAGGGCTGGGTTTCTTTCAAGAGCAACAAAAAAGCAAGTTGCTGTTCATATTCTTTCTATATTTGTGGCAAAGTTCTGTATCATTTAATATGGGAAAACTGAAATAAATTTAAAAATGAGAGCTTTAATCTGGATAAAAGGAGAAATTTCTGCACCCTGAGGACACCAACCAGAGGAACAGGTTCTGATAGCACAGGCTCTATCCTTAGAGGCTTTCAAGACCTGATGGGACAAAGCCTGGAGTATTCACAGCTAGAGCTACGAGACTGGATTAGAGAGCTCCTGAGGCTATTCCAACCTAAACCTCGATCTCAAAGGTACATTGGTGCAGCTTTTTCTACTGATCCTGGAATTTAGTGAGAGGTTGTGGTAGGGAAATCCCAAGCTCAGGATGTGCATAGGACAAAAGCTGGTGGACTACAAGGCTGTTCCCATGCCCCTCCAGCTGCTCCAGCAGCAGAGGAGGCACCTTGCTGCTCTCATCACCATGTGTCAGGGCTGCGGGTCAGGGCTTCAAACACATGTAGTGCAGCTGAGGGCTGTTACACCTTCTGATTTGGAAAATAACAGGTCAGCACGTCAAGGGGAAAAATTTTCAGTCTGCAGATGTTCTGGGGAAGGAGAGAAACCTGGGAAGGGGCAAAGCTGAGAGAGAAAGAGCTAACTGAAAAGCATACAAGAGGGGAATTTGCAGCACCGTAGTGCAGTAAGAAAAAAAAGGCTAATGCAGAGACATCAGGATTACTGGGCAGGCTTCTGGGTGTCTCACTGCTAAAAAGTTATTAACAGCTGAGTTTAGAAAGCAGCAATAAAAGTGATTTAAGAAGCTAGAGCAAAGCAATTTAGGAAAGAGGAAATCAAGAAATGCGTTCCATTTCAGCTACAGGCCTCTTGGTGTGGAAAGATTCTTAAGAGAAGCAGGAATTATTTGTGGGTTTTCTGTTAAATTGAAAGACAGTGAACTATGCAATGTGGAGAAGGAAATGCAAAGAGTAAAAGTGAGCAAAACCACCTCTGATCACAATCCCAGCAGTGGGTATGGCTGGCAGTGCCACATCCCTTGTGTCAGTCAGCTGCCTGGTGTGGGGCAGAGCTGTCTGTGGGCTCCGGTGACAATGTCCCTGATGGGTGGCTAAGGTGACAAGCTCCAAGGCAGAAATGTGATCTAAGTGGCTGAAAACTAGGTTGGGGTGAATCTAGGCCAGTGCTTTGTATGATTTTGCTGAGGATGGGAAAGTCCAGGGTTAATCATTAAAATGCCTTCTGCAAGACCTTGCAGCTGAAAAATGGGTCAAAACAACGCCCTGGTAGCGCTGCCAGTGACACGAGCCTTGGCAGCAATTGTAAAACCATTACAGCGTTCCTGGGCTGTGTCATCCACCCGTGGACTGCCAGATGCTAGAGAGCAGTCCCAAAACTGCTCTGTAGCAGAGAGGGGAGTGGGGGATAAGAAGTAACACAGCCCAATCAGGAACACATCCAACTGTGTTCCTATGTGCATCCAAGGTATTTATCAGGGGCTGGTTTAGATGCTTCTGTGGTGTCACATAGGCAGTACAGGAGGTGCACACCTACATCTGCCTCATGTGACTGCTCTCCTGACACACACTATTAAGTCTCTGTACCTAGTTTTTTTTCTCCTTGCTTGACATTTATTTTTCCTTTAATTGGCTTTATGGGAATTTCTTCAGTCAGCAACTCTATCAAGACAAGAATGACTTTTGCTGTCTGTAACATGGGTGTTTATCTAGAATGATTCCAGCCACAGAAATGTGAAGGATGAGAAGACACCTACACACATTAACCTCTGTTTCCGGGATTTGATTTGATTTGATTTCTTCAAAATGCAGTTCTGCTGGGTGCTGGGCCATTTCCCAAAAAATGTTTGTATAGTTCTTGCCAGCAGGAATTGCAGCCCTGATTATGTTGAGCAGTACAGGCACTTCACACATAAGCTGTTCTATGGGGCTCTGCAATGGGTGTACAGTAAATGTTATTTAAATGAAAATAAGCTCCTGCTCTGTCATCCCAGGTTAGAAACCAGTTTCTGCTGTCTTGAGTCTTCCGTTTGTGTGTCAGAGGGAAGGAAAAGGAAAGCCTTGGCAGGGTGTGAGGGGCCAGCAGGCTGGGGAGCTCGGCGTGGGGCTGTGGCAGGGCTGGCTGTGCACCCCCAGAGGAGACTGCTCAGTTGCCATCATAGCCCAAAGCTCATTGAGGATACTGGAAAGCCCAGGAGTGGTTAAAATCCCCATGAGAGCACCTGTACAAGCCTTGCTGTCAGAAAAGCCAAGGGCAGTGTTTTCTGAGTACTGCTGAAACCAGCAGCCTTGCCAGGTGAGCTCCCTGCCAGCTGGGAGGGGGAGAAGGTGGAGGGAGGACAGTGGCTGGTGCCTGGGGTCTCCTGACAGATCCACTGGCACTGCTCAGCATTAGTAGGTCACACAGCCTGATGGCCAGGATCTGCAGATTAGTCTGCTCTTGAGTGCTGCAGGAGCAGTAGGGCTGGATGACAGCCAGAGCTTAATGTTGAAAAGAATCGCTCTTTAGTGTAAGGAGGTGACTTTTTAAGATGTTTTTTCAATCCTCTTCTTTTCATCTGGGTTTCTTTAACACATGTGTTAAACTGTCCCCGTTGCTCTTGGTGCAGGCAGACCTGGAGGCACACTCTGCTTGGTAGCTTTTGCATGGCAGCTTTTGCTCGTGGAAGATTTCGGATTTCCTTTTTTTGGCACCCAGTGCAGAAGGTCCCCACCATTCCCTGTCCCTAAGGGACATTCGTGTCTCTAATCGGAGTAGCATGGGAGCATCTCATAGGCTTTCTCTTATGATTCCTGGGGAACAAAGAGATCGTTTTCTCCTTTTCCACACACTGCAGTGCCCACAGGTGACTGGTGGGTGAACCAGGGTCTGAGCTACTCATTAGAGCAATCCTCCACAGCTTTTCAACAGCTCTTCCAAGGTGCCTCTCTGACGTGGGGACATCTTAAATTCTGCATTGATCATGACCAGGAATGAATCTCTACATTGTAATTTAGATGAAGCCTGGATTTTTTCAGGCAGCACAGCTACTAGATTTTTTTAAATTGGCAAATATGAAAAACAGCAGAATATTTAAGGCTATAAACCATTTCACAGCAATCCCACCCCTCTTTTGCACAGTGTGAGGGATGCAGAAACAGCTTTCCCCTTTATGGTCCCTTCACCCCCTGAAGATACAACGAAAGTAGAAGATACCATGAAAGCAAGGGATACTCACTGATGGTCAGCATTGTTGTTCTCTGGGCCTGGCGAGCTTCTGGTTGACAAAGCCTGTGAAACAAGAAAAGACATGTATTTCAGTTACAACACTTTAAAGTCAAGGAAGGTGATTCTGCCCCTCTATTCTGCTCATGAGAGACCCCACCGGGAGCTGCATCCAGCTCTGGGACCCCCATTACAGGAAAGACACGGACCCATTGGAGTGAGCCCAAAGTAGGGCCACCATAATGATCTGAGGGCTGGAGCACCTTTCCTATGAAGACAGGTTGAGAGAGATGGTGTTGTTCAGCCTGGAGAACAGAAGGTTCTGCGGAGACCTTACTGCAACCTTTCAGTACTTAAAAGGGACCTCTAAGAAAGATGGAGAGAGGCTTTTTACCAGGACCTGTGGTGGCAGGACAAGGGGCAATAGTTTTAAACTGAAAGAGGGCAGGTTTAGATAAGAACTTAGGAAGAAACTCTTTACTGTTGGAGTGTTGAGGCACTGAAAGTGGTTGCCCAGCAGAGTTGTGGATACCCCATACCTGAAGGTCAGGTTGGATGGGGCTTTGAGCAACCTGGTCTAGTTGAAGATGTTCCTGCCCATGGCAGGGCTGTTGGAACTGGATAATCTTTCATGGTCCCTTCCAACCCAAACCACTATGTCTTTCTATGAAACCTATCTTTATCTATAGTAGGCTATGTCTGCCCTGATTTAAACCCCCAAACAACCTCTATGGAGACAATACAGGTACAAGAGACTCCTCTTTACTAGCTCTGTTTTGCCTGCTCTGTTCCAGCATTCAGGGCAGCTGGGTGGCTGCAGGCTACAGAACTGAAATCCCTGGCCGACTTGTTAAACCTCCCAGTTTTTTCATGAATGAGCACTGCCCCACTGATTGACAGGTTGCACTATGAAAATACCTGCTAAGGAAAGAAGTTACTGCAACACAGACCCAACTTTTTTTACCTGACAGAGATACTTCCCTGAAATGATCCATCTGTAGTGAAATGGCCACATTCCCTATGCTGGAATCCACAGGCTTTCAATGGGGTATCTGGTAATAAAATGAACCCCTTGCAGCCAGATGCTACTGAGAAGAATATAACTTTCATCTTTTTTTTACTTTTTCACTGTACTCTCACGGGCAAAAGGAGTGGGACAAGAACATGGCTTTGCATAAAACTAGATCTATCTTGGCTCACCACTATTTTTTCTGAGCTGCAATCCTAAAGCTGGTAGGCCTCCTTTGTACAAGCTATCCTGAATCTCATGACAACACTAATATGTAGCACACCAAACCAAAGTGAGGATTTGGCTTCCAGAAAATAGAAACAAAAAGTTGTTTTGTCAGTGTGGAAAAGGGGAAATATTGTACAAGAATATTTCTTTTTGTACAAGAAATGGAAGCAAAGGAACAAGGGAGAGGTGTGGAAAAGCTTGCAATTCAGAGCCATCACCTATGCCTCTGCTGCATGGTGTTTCTGAAAGGCTGGATGGGACTAAGCGATTCCTCAGTAAGATCTGATCTTGAATAGCTCAAACTTGCACTTTCTCAAGGTCCAGCAATGCATGGGACAGCTGCTGGTAAGGGTGGAAGCTATGGAGGGGAGACACCCCTCTACAGGTAGCACCGGTACAGCATTGATGGCTTTATGCAGTTTTGAGCTGATTTAAATCAGTTGGTATTGATCAGGCTTGTATGTGCCATCCTGGATGTCTGCAATTACTGCATGGCACCTGATTTTAATTTGAAAGGAGATGTTTTCACTACACTCCTTCCTCATCTGCTCCTCATGGGGATGGACAGGAGTTGAGGTTTAAACACCCTGGTCTCAGACACTGCCAGGCAGATAGAGAGGTGCTTGGTAGAGAACTGCTCAGCTCTTCTCTGCTTCTTGCATGGGCTTTGTGCTGCTGTGGTCACCTTTGGCTCCCATGCTTGAGCCAGCGAGGAGGGCTACAGCAAGGACATCTCCCTCAGGGTATGGATCAACACCGCTTCCAGATGAGCCCTTAGCAGCTTCCATTTCTGGAGCTGGGAAAGATATCTGTCATCCATGATATTTTACATCCTAGCTGCTTGCTTAAAATGACAAAAGATATTATCAGTCTTAAGTAGAGCTTTAGTTTGATACCTGCCAAAAGGGAATCCACGTACTTTCAGAAGAGTCCCTGCTCTTTGGCAACACTGTATTTTCTCTGGAAGAGCCTGAACTAGTCTAGAAACAGCTCCTGGGTCCAAGCAGAGACAAGGGTATGTGAGAAAGCTGATGGTAAGGGAAGACAGTTCCCGCCTGGTTATTTATCATCATTTCTTGGCAATCTCCCACAAGCAACAAGAGCAAGAAGCAGTGCCAGGAGAACACCATGCTGAGCTCCAAGGGCTGACTTCTCCTGGGATTGCATCCCACAGTGCAGCATCATCCACTGGGCTACTGCTGCTGTCCCGGTTTCCTTCCACCAGGCAAATAACATTATTCATCCTCAACACCAAGGGAAATACAGTTCTTCAGGAGTGCTTTGATGCTGTTCTTCCCACAGTGAGAACCCAGCTGCCAACTCTTCTCGGCAAAGGATGGGTTTGGATCATTTTCGGGAGGGGTTTGAATTGTACAGTAGGTCATCTGTTTTTTATTCCCTTGTGGCTGACTCCTCCATGTTACGAGTTGTACGTGTTGTGTGGGTGGAAGACAGAATTAATTAGTCATCAGGACAGAGCAGCTCTGGTTAGTAAAATCTGCTTCTCTGTGCAAAACCTGCTCCCACCTTCTCCAAGGGATCTGTCAGCAACAGTACTTATTTCCCAAGAGAATTTGGCATTGGTGCAGGTAGATCTCTACTGACATTTAATCTGGCGCATGAGTCAAAAATGGTGGCGAGGAAAACAAAAGGCACCTCTAGCCTTTGCCTTTTGCCTGCCATCAGAGCCTCTGTGCTTTGGGAGCTGCTCCTAACTCCTCCAGGCAAAGTACACATGGTTCCTCAATGCCCAGGTGACATCATGTGCTGGGCAGCAGGCAGGATTCGGAGCACTGGCTGTCACAGGCTGTGAGACACAATAAAAACTGGCCCCACCCAGCCTGTTCAGGATTGCTGTAATGTGTGTGTTGCAAGTTCAGCACATAATTGGTAGAAGCCCTTTATGTGGGTTAGGATGATGCATACATCACAACACTTTAATATTATGGGTTCCTATCCTACAGCTAAATAAGCAATTGCTGGCCTGGTTGGCCTGTGCTCTGTTAAGAGATAAATGAAGTCAGCTTCTCCTTTCTGCAGCTTGCAGTCATCTTTTTATTACTCATGCAGACCACAGCGTGTCTCCTTGTTTTCCACCCTGTCCTCACTGTAAGCATCTTGTGCTGGGGTCTGTTGTGCCACAGAGCCCCACATCACCCCCTCTTCCAAGTTTAAAGGCTTGTATATTAAGCTCACCCAGCATGTACCCAGGTTAAATTCAATGTAATGAGATGTGAGGTGGAGTGGTTTGACGGTCATTGCACATGCAGTTCAGCTGTCCTTTGTGTTAGGGCAGCGGCTCCTGGGAGCAAGACAGAGCAGAGAGCTGGAAGGAAGAGCTATTTCTCTGTGCTGAGTGCACGAACAAGCACTCCTGGGATGCAGCTTCCCACTCCCCCCAACCCAATGCAAGTTCCTCATGGTCCTACCATCCAGTAGCTGTGGGAGAGCTGGGTGAGTACACCCTCTCCTGGGACCTGCAGGGCGATCTGAAGCTGTGCACCTTTGGAGGCTCTGAGCTGCTCCTGAGCTGCATTGAAACAGTCAACTACAGTCTTGAGTATTGAAATCACACCGTCTCCAAAGCTGGGAGGTCAATTTCAAGCGTTCTTAGAGATTGCCCCTGAGCCATGCCTAAGCATTATTTGGGAGACTGCAAGTTGATCCTGAAAAAAACCGTGCCAGCTCAGTGGGGCAGACCATCATGGTCCAGTGCCAGGCAGCTGCTACGGTATAGTTTATCAGTACAGACACAGCCCTGAGATGCAGTAGAGATACAGACCCTGAGTAGTCCTATCACGGCCAGGGTAGCCTGGAGAGTGACTGAGCCACCTAAAACATCTACATGTGAGCAGTGTTGTCATTGCCAGTGCTGATCCACTGGGCTGTGGTTTCATAGCATGGCTTTTCTGCAGGATGCAAGCCAGTGCCTCCTTCCCTGCCTCTGCTCTTCCCAAATCCCACTTCACTAATGCCCTGTGAACTAGACCACGGGACTGGTCTGAGCTGAAATGCAAACCCTCTGCCTCGGCAGGGATGGAGGTGATGTCAGCTGGAGAGCATCACAAGTGCATGAGCAGCAGAGCACGGACGGCTGAGCTGGTACAGCAGCAGGGCAGCACCCTCCAGCGACGCCAGCGCATGATGTGGGAGCTGAGCCAGTCCTCACTGCTGAAATCAGCCCCTCATGAACCCGCAGGCAGTTACTGCCGGCAAAAAAAAAAGAGCTTACCTAAGGTGTCAGAAGGTACCAAACGGGATGTGTGGCCCTAGCTGCACCCCAGGCAAAGCACTCCCAGCCTTGCTCCGGTCTGCAGCAACATCCTCTGGCCAGCAAAGAAATTAGGAGCAGGCGGTGAACGGGAAGTGGGCAGGGATGTAGGGAGTTCCCACGCTTCTCCTCTCCTGCCAACTAAAACACCAGCTCCCAGCTATTCTGCGCATGTCCTGAGCTTAGTTTTTAGATCAAGAATAGCTTCAGGGCAAAAGCAAGCCATGCTCTGCCAAGGGAAGGAGGGGAGTTGTGGAAAATAACTATTCAGCAGTTTTCCAAGTCCAGCTGCAACACAGCTGTGCTGGGAGGGTGATGCTGGCTGAGGGGACAGCACAGCTCACTGCTTCTGAGCTCTGGTCAAGTTTCAGGTGCTTTTAACAAGACAAAGAATACAATCTGTGTGACAGAGAGACCTTCAGCTTGGGAACTGCCAGATCCATACCTAGACATTAACTGCAGAATCTGAAATAATCTGACTTCAGGAAGTTCAGAGAGTCCCAGATGTTCAGTTGGAAAAGACCTTTTCTGAAGGCCTCCCACTCCTTACGCAACTGCACCAGAATGTCTTGACTTGAGGGCATTTCTGACTATTAATACAACCAGGAAGAAAATGCTGAAATAAGCTGCTAACAATGCTAAATTAGAAAGATCAGATTGTTTGAGGGAAGCACATTTTAACAAGACTAGAAAAATAAACCTGAGTTCCTGTAAGAAACTAATGGGGCATGACATTAAATGTCCCTACAGGACCCTCATGTGTTTGCAGCTGGGACCAGCCAGCCACAAGATGACGCTGTGCCACACCAAACTGCAGAAAAACATTTATTTGGCTGAAAAAGTCAGGCAAAGCTTTGAAGACTTAGGTGTTTTAGAAGTGTATGATAGTCCCTCTAGAAGTTGGTGAATGCACCCTCTACCTGTGTTATTCCCATGCTGCAGCTTGAGTGATTCACTTACTGAAATCACATCCTGTCTTCAATCAGGAGGAGTGATGGTGCCACGGAAAAAGCTGTTAAAAGCAAGATCCTAAGATGTCTCTGTGATTCTTCTATTTCAGGAAACCAATGGGGAAGTGCCTGAGGCCACAGCCTCTGCCCTGGCTTCCACTAAGGGCTGCCACTCTGCCCTGTGCTGAGGTGCTGCTCTAAGGTGCTGCTCTGAGGTGCTGCTGAGGCAGCACCTGTAAAACCACAACTACATGTTTCTGTCTTGAGCAAAGAGACAAGGAAAAAACATGTAAAACCATCTAGAATTGAGAGCAAAGCTGAAAATGGACATTTGATGCTGATAAGAGGTGCTGGGGTCTGCTCCAAGCCAGGTTCAGGCTCCCCATCAGGATTTGGTTCCCAGCCGGCTGCTGTTCTTTCACACTTCTCACTCCCAAGTACTATTTGAATGTAATAGAGGTGGCTCAAGCCTCTAAATGCAGGTGCATCCCTCTCTACCAGCCCTTGACACCTGGCCTGACTGCCCACTGGTGCTGCTAACTTGCTGACAAACTGTCCTGGGGCTCAGGTGTGAAGCACGACACTGATGCACATCATGCCCAGGAGAAACTCAACCATGACATCAGAGAGCTGAGTCCTGCTTGCAATTCTGCTCACTTCTGGCTCATGTCAAACCTCTCCTCTACTCCTGCTACCCAAAATCTGCTCCTCCATGGGCTGTTTCTCATCAGACTTTTCTCCTGTAATACTTCCTTGTTGCCCTTCCTTCTCGTGCATCACCTTTCCCTCATTAATTCTGTTGAATCAGCTCATGCTTTTTGCTCTGAAATTTCTTTGCTCATCCACCATTTTGCACAGGGCAAAGCGAGTTCCCACCACTAGAGAGAAACTACAAATGAGTGCCTGAGAAGCTGGCAAGACTGAGAGAAATTGCCCTCAAAATTTCTAGCAAGGAACCGGCGATGCAACAAAGTTGATATCCCTTTCCAAAACCTCCTCCACCAGCCTCATGGGAAGGATAGGACTGCAGTTTGTACAACAACCTAAAAGACTAAACTGCATCCAGTAAACAACCAAAACCTGGTGCTGCAAACAGTTTCCTCCCTCCTTTTCTCAGGCTATTGACATTTTAGGCCCCAAGGAGTCAGAATGGTAAGCCCATGATCGCTGTCTGTACCGTGGTCATCTCAGGTTCACATAAAGAAAGTGCTGCCAGCAAAAAAGCTTCCAGTTTGCCCTGAAAATACCTGAGACTTCTCTTGCATGTCTTTTAGATATTTGAAAAACACTGGTAGTTCTTTGCTGTCTTTAAGACAATGTATTTGGGTGCAATGAGAGGTGTGGACTTCCTCCCACACAAGAGGCAGCAGCAGCTGGACAAGGGGACACACAGGATGCTCAGCATCACTGTTGCCTCACAGGTGGCACAATTGCGTGCTGCACCCACTTGGCCTTGCTGGATGACCAAGGCCCCACATGCCTGTTCCAGGCTGAGCTCACAGACATCTCTGTGCTGCACCAGGTCTGACCACAACCTAGTGGCTGAAGGGATGCTACAGGTTTCTTGCCACCATTTCTGCCAGAGGAGGAGGTCTGCAACAGGGCGTGGGGCACAGTGACTCCCCAAGGGCAACATCCTAAATTCCTCAGCCTTTCTGGTTTGCTCCTTGTCATTGGTTCACTAGTATCTAATGCTGTAGTGGACTGTCTCTCTACTGACACTAGTAAAGAAAGATGAGGGCAGTTCCATCGCCTTTCTGATATGTAATTACCTAGAACACACATCAGAATAGAGCTATAATACTACTTTGTGCACAGGAAAACTCACAGTTTATGTAATTATTATTTTTAAAGATCCAGCCATGATATTCACAAGTGGAAACGGAGGGAAAATGGATATCAGCAGCCTCTATTCCCATAAGTAAAGATAAATGGGAGAAGTCAGGAGCAGTGTTCATAAATGAGAGTCCCTCAGAGGAGAAAGCAGTGCTGGACTGAGCTCCTGTTCATACTGCAGGAGGGTTTGGAGCAGAGAGTGAGGACAAAATATCTCAATACAAGATGTCTATTTTTTCTTCTGTTTCCAAGCCTTACTTTCTTTGAGGCTTTTCTTTAAAACTTGTCTAAAAAAAGGATTCTCATACTGATCCTTGCCAAGTTTCTTAATGGAAAAATTATTTTGTATTAGTTATCCTTTCCCCATGGATGAACAGTTTGGTGATGGAAGTGATACACTTCTAAAGAGCAAAACTGAGACATGCAAGGCAGAAAGTTCCTGGGTCCTAAATATTCCTTTCCATTTTTAAATTTATTAATTTAGTCAGAAGACATCTGTGCATCTGTGGAGAGCAGCATTTACCTTACAAAGAACACACAACTTGCAAAGCCAAACTAAGATGAAAGAAGCTGGTGATTTTTGGCCTCATCACCAGATGATATAGACGCTGCTGCTATTTTTGGATTGGAAAACACCCACAAAAGATAAATCTCAACTCCCTCGGTGGCAAATCCGTAATTTGTTAAACAGAAACAGACTGAAATGCACCTTTAGGAAGTGCCAGACTGCAGTTGCAGCAGACTGGTAAACATTAAAGGGCAGTTTTATGTTCACATTTTTAAACTTCTGTTTACAAGCCTGACCCAGAAGCCGAACTATAAAGTCGAGCTATTTCCACAAAGCAGGAAAAGAAACTTCCAGTAGCACCGGGAGACTGGAGAACGGGATGGCCCCTCTCGGGACGGTGTTTCCCTTGCCCAAGAGACAGAAAACGAAGCAGAGCAGCAAAGAGAAAAGGAGAAGAGAGCATTTAGCCGGACTCGCAGTGAAGATCAAAGGAATTTAGTGTTCGGAGGAGGACACGGCGAGCGGGCTATGGCAGGGGGGGACCCCCGGGCTGGTCTGGGGGGTCCCGGGGCCGCCGCCGGGAGAGTCTGGGGTCCCGACCGGGGCCGGGGCCAGGGCGGGCACTTACCGCCTGCTGGAGCGGAGCCCCGCCGCCGCCTGCCCACATCGCCCCGCAGCTCCCGGCGGCCCGGGGCTCGGGAATGCCGCCGGCGGCAGAGGCTGGGCGGGCGAGGGCGGGCGCCGCCACCCCCTCGCTCTCTGCCGGCGCCGTCTCCGGCGGCTCCTGGTTTTCCACCGCTCTGCCCTTGGGCCCCGCCGCGCCCCGCCGGCGGCTGCTGCCGCTGCCCATGGCCGGGGCCGCGCCGGGGCCGGGGCTGTGCCGGCGGGAGCGCTCCGGGCCGCCGCCTCTACCGGGCGGGGCGGGCGCGGCTCTCCGCCGCTCCGGGAACCTTCGGTGGGAGAATCCCACCCAGGAGCGCCCCAAGGCCGGGGGAGGGAGCCGGCGGCGCAGGGGAGGGATGCGCGGCCGCTTCTGATCACGCTTTTTTGGGCAGGGTGCCGCACTCCCCTTTTCCGTCCAAAACTTTCCATTCCAGCCCATTAGCTCGGGCCTCCCTAGCTCCAGATCTTTACATACATCTCCCTGAGCTGGGGAGAGGACGTTGTCATCTTCGGGGATCATGCAGCAGGAACAGCAATCCTGGGCTGAACTCAGGCACACTTCTCGCAGACGGGTCTGGCAGACCTTGGGAGAATAACGCAGCCCGGGCGATGCCATTTGGGTCGGGTTTGTGGCACTGAGTGGCGGTTCTGGCGGTGTTCCTGAGTCGGGGACTAACAAATGAAAGGAGTAGAGTTTCGGGAAATCCCCTCTGCAAAGAATGGGCACCTCCTTAGCCCATCCCCACAGACGGAGTCACTCTGCTTCTCAACAGGCTGTCGAGCCTGTGGAGTTGATCCTCCAACCATCCTAGACTGCTTCTTTCTTTGCTTTCAACAGTAAAATCTTTGCGCAATTGCTGGGCACTCTGGAAAGTATCACTCAAATTAAACAGCACCTATTAAAGGCAAGACTGTCATTCCCGCCAGGGGAGGAGAGTAGGGGGTACAGTGGCTGCTTGGTTTCCAGCCTCTATTTGCAGCATGCAGGTGAGTGGGAAGGAGAGCAGGTCCCATGGGGCTGCTTCTCCCCTCTTTCCGAACCAGAGGCTGATGAACGCAGGAGGGGCAGAGTGTGACTCTTCTTGCTCCTCCTTAGCATTGACTGCAATGGTTGCATCTATGAGCCTTTCATCTTGCTTGTTCTTCCCAAATCACCAAGCTAAAGTTCATGACAGAGGGGCTGGAGGAGGGAAGGACACAAGAGGTCAGATCATTGCCAGGATGATCTCTTAAGAATGGGAGCTTACAAGAAAGACAGGGACAGACTTTTTAGCAGGACCTGCAGCAATAGGACAAGGAGTATGGTTTTACACTAAAAGATGGGAGATTCAGACTAGGTAAAGGAAGAGATTTTTTTGCAATGAGGGTGGTGAAACACTGGCACAAGTTGCCCAGAGAGGTGACAGATGCCCCATCCCTGGAAACATTCAAGGTCAGGTTGGACTGGGCTCTGAGAGACCAGGTCTAGTGGAAGGTGTCCCAGCTTATGGCAGGGGCTTTGAACTGGATGACTTTTAAAGGTCCCTTCCCACCCAAATCATTCTGTGACTCTGTGAAGGATGTTCTGTAGGAAGAGTAGATCATCTGCAAGTCTGGGGGTGTGGTTTCACATGTCTGGGTCCAGAGCCAGGGTGGTCACAAAGAAGCTGTTTTGGATCTGAGGCAGGTCCTGGAGAAAGGGGAAGTGATGAGGCCTGCTTGCTGAGGAGGAGATGGCGGAGCTGAATGTGGAATTAAATATCCCCAAACAAAATGTCCCAAGAGGACAGGCTCTGCAAGCATCAGAGACAAAAACTTTCCAACAAGAAGTGAACAAATTTCTCCTCCTCCTCCATCCCTGCAGGCTGTCTCTGAAGGACTGGAGCCTCCTGGAAAGTTTCCTGGCTGCCCCCATGGAAACAGTTCATTCCAGGACAGTCCCTCAGATTCAGCTGGAAGTGAATTTACTTGGCTCCATAAACCAGCTGTCAAAATGAGCCAAACACCCTGTGTTTTGAAGCAGATCACTGCTGGAGCCAGGAAAGTGTTTGAGCAACAGTGACCTTAAATGCTGCCATGGTTTACAGTGACACGGAAGGACTCTGAGATTTTCCAAAAGCTAAAGGCCTGATAAGTACATGACTCCTCAGGAAAATTAATGAAAATCAGCTATCAAATTCCTCTTTATGATGAACTGGTGGCTTTTAACCAGCAAGGCCAGTGGATAATATCTTGGCTGATCTTCAAGAGCAAGGGTTGGAAGTGTGTAGTGCAAGTGCCAAGTACAGCATGTGGATCAGTTTTGGATGGCACACAGCCAAGCCAGCAATGAGCCAGGAGCCTTTGCATCCAAAGCACAGTGTTGAGAATGCCAGTGGTGCCGGCTCCTGGCTTCTCCCAAATCCTATGGGAGCCCAGGAGCTCTTTTGGATGATGATGCTGGACTTAACATGGTGGGTGGTCTCTTCTGACTCCAGCTGTGCTGGCACCCTCAGCCTCTGCTCTGGGAAAGAAAAGGATGTATGCTGTGTGTGAAAGGATGCCTGCCTCTGTTAGACAGAGGCAATCAATGCCTTCTAATAAAAGATTTAATTGTGGAGATACAAATGCATGCATGCATATGCACACTTGTACATATTGACACCCAAGTCTTGTCCAAACCATCACATTTATTTGAGGAACATGGAATTATTTTAAGATTACCGTTATTCATCAAAGCCACTAGCACTGATTTACCCTGCTAAAGTATTTGACTGGACTTTTAAGAGCAAAGGCCAAAGTGGAGTTGCACGCATGCAATTGCCAGGACAAAATGTGATTTTTTTTTCAGATCTTATTTTAAGATTGCTCATTCCCTGAGTATGTGAATAAACCAGACTGACTCTACCTCACCCCATATCTCACCCTATCCCCAGACTACAGGCAGGATTGTCAGTCTTCTCTCTCCTGACAGTCTTTCATCTGAGGAGGGATAGGGCATGTGAAAAATTGCAGCCAGTTCCAGTGGAGTTGTTTGTTCCGTGCCTTGTCCCCAGCCCATGGTCACTGGGATGGTCTCACAGACCCTATCCCACCTCTCAACCTCAAAGTGAGATCTCATAGTCCAGGCTTTTTCTCTATCGAAGCCAGGGAATTGTTGTTCCCCTCTGATGCAGAGCCTGAGCTTTTTGCTTCCTCAGGTTTTGCTCTCTGGCTCCAACCCCTGAAGCAGCCCCCTGGCCACAGGACAGATCTTTACGGCTCTAGCCAGTGCAAGGACCAGCCCAGCCCAGCCCAGCCTTTGCACTCGGCAGCATTAGTGCAAGGAGGGGGTGGGGAGGATGGAAGTCAGACACCAACACACCCTGTACCCCACAGACAGGTTCCCTGGGCAGGGGCAACACCCCACGAGGATCCCAGCACCAGCATTTGGGAGGGGTGTTGTTCTGGGCTGTATTGCTGTTCACCCGGCAAGGCATGATGGGCAGCTGCAGTCCTATCAGTAGTTATTATGGGAGCACCAGAGAGCCAAACACATGAAGAGTTTCCTTGCTGGTAAAATAACAGGCACCCTCTGACACAATAACCAAAACAGAACCTGGGGAGCTGTGTTTTTTCAGGTTTTTGTTCCCACCAGAAATTTTTTAGGTTATTTGAAGTTAGTTCACTGAAGGAACTGGTCTTGTAACAATATCACAGCACATGTGTTTAGGTTTTGTTTTCTTTCCTAATACTTGGTGTATTTTCAGCAAGCCTTCAACAGAGATAGATATCCCTTGGTGTAATAGTTCTGGAAAGCTACGGAGGTTTTTGTGGTCACCTGTATTAATCACAAAAAGGATTAAAACTCAAAGTTAAAATACATATCAGAACGAATCTCTCCGTCTTGCTTGTTGACTAAAAGGGTGGTTTCTCACATGCTTCCCAGACATCCTAAGGTCCCCTCACAAGGTATCCACTTCCCTGGGATGTGGCATGGGGAGATGTTGCGTCTTCTTAGCTGTCCTCCACAGCACCACTGATGCTGGCTGACCACTGTCAGGACCTGGGCATTCCTGCCTTGCACCATGAGGACACCCTGGCACATTTGGAGAGAGCCTGGAGATCTTGGTTCAGATATTTACTGTGGATTTTTTAGAAGCAGACCAGTGAATGTCCATCAGAAGTTTGTTTAGACGTCAAACTACCTTAGACAGCTTTTGCCACACTCTGAGAAGAAAATAATAAAATTTGGTCTCCATGGAGCAAGCAGGAAAACTTCATCTTCCCCACTGTGAACTGCTGGACCAGTGTTACCCTTCAGTGAACAGGTTTATATATTAATCTGTCTTTCTAGCATTAACTTGTGTGTAGTAAAGGCAATGAGAACATCGCAGAGCCAGCCTCCGTCACGTGGTTTTCCAAACCTTTTCCCAGATATCCTCTTCATTTGGGTTTTTCTACAGTTCTGACCCAAAACCTCCTGAAAAATTTATTTCTAGTGTTTACGGTTCTTTAGATGTTTGCTTTGATGCAGAGACCTCATGTCCTATGAGTCTGACCTGATATGCTGTGAAATAGTGTATGGAAAAAGCTGGGCTTGAGAAGAGAGCACAGAGCCAGCGTTGTCTGCTGCCACACGCTGTCCAGAGAAAAATAACTGCAAGAGAGAGACCAGTGAGATGTAGAGAGGGAAACTCCAAGAGGCTGATATGGAAGGTGATGGTTAGGAGAAAATGTTCCCAAGCCTGCTTCATCTCTGTTGCTGCTCAAGGTGTTGCCTTGTGTTGAATGTACCTTTACCTGGCTGAGATGAGCTGGTAAGGTGGGTGCTTCAGAGCAGAGGAGACCAGTTCCCTTGCTGAAGAGCCAACGTACAGCACGATGGGACCAGGACAAAGTGGGGAAACCACACCTAGAGGAGGGATGAAGGTTGCCCCTGTGTAATAAACAGAGCTGGGCTTTGGTCCAGGGCTGGGGTTTAACTCATGTAATTTGCAAAAAAACTGCTGAGAACAGATGTTTAAATATGAAAGCATATTTTTTAGGAGTGTCGTCTCAACATCTCGGATTTTACTGCAACCTAAGCATTGCCAGTAAACACTTTTTTCCCCTCTGCTTCCCACATTTTAAGGGAAGGGCTCTACTTTGTTCAAAAACACAAGAATAAAGACACAGCCCAGCAGAGTTGCATTTTGTGTCTCTCACCATGCTGTCTTTCTGCAGTCTTTCCTTTGGGAGCATGGAGGGCTCATGCCATGGGAGCACTTGCAGCAGCTGCAGCCGGCTCCTGCCTGAGCATTTCTGCACCCAGGAGAGGCAGCTGTTGCACAGCTGGAGTATGATGGTATGTCCTGTATGAGCAGCTTGTATGCTGGTAAGACAAGCCCTTTCTTTTGAGTCCCTGGGTGAGGCTCAAACTATGTCCAAATGAGGAAAAAGGCCAAAATCCCATTGTCACCTGCAGCAGGGCAGGGAATCTTTCTGGCAGGTGAGGCATAGTACCATGCAGATGAGCTGGTGTCCACGTGGTAGTGCTGTGTTCTCATCAGTAACCAAAAACTCAAGCTGCAAATTCCAGTCAGTGACCACAGTATGGATGTAGTGGCCAAAGTGGAGATGATCAAGCTGTCTGCATGGTGTACTTGCCTAATCAGTAGCATAAATGCCCCCCTTGGC